GAGCCCTGCGGGTGCTTCGCCCCTTCCCCGCCGCAGCCACATTGCACAAGATGAAGGAGTTGAGGAGTGTGACAGCGCTGGCACACACTGTTAAAGCTATGGCTTTCTTTACTGCAATATCGGGTGAGTGTGATATAAGAATATACTAGCTGTCTCCCACGACTCCGTCTGCGCGAAATGAAATAAAACTTACTAAGTAATCTACGTATTCTTTCAGGCTATGTTCTACATTTATGTCAAATTTCAGTAAGATCCATACAGAATACGGATATACTTTCAAGCAAACATTCATCCATCCAAACATTCGCATTCATAACATTAGTAATAATTCATAACATTATTAAAAAAACAATAATTATTATTGAAAAAATAAGTCGGATTTATGATTTTTATAGTTCGATATGTGCTCAATTTTTTTTGTAAACTAAAATGTTACCTGTGTGAGAGCGTCGGTGGCTCAGGGGTCAAGCACTTGACTTGCAATCTGCAGGTCCTGGGATCGAATCCCGCCATGTACCAATGTGTTTTTGATTTTCGATTTACATATGTACATTTATCTGACGTTCTTACGGTGAAGGAAAACATCGTGATGACGTATCAACGTATAAATTCAAAGATATGTGTGAAGTCAACCCGCACTTGGCCAGCGTGGTTGACTATGGCCTAATCACCCTTGATTTGAGGGTAGGCTCCGAGCTCCTCGGTGGGGACGTATAGTGAGCTGATGATGTGTGCCCTAAAATGTTAGCTGTTTAAAGAGACATGTAAATAAAAGTTTGTTTGTACGACGAGGCGCGTTCGTGGCCGGACTGGACGCGGGTCTGGTGTACAACTCGTTCCCGAAGATGGGCGAGCGCTGGTTGCCGGAGGACATCCTGGCGCTGACTCCGACGAGGCGCAACTTCACCGAGAACCCCACCACTGTGCAGTTCGACCACCGCGTGCTCGGCACCGCCACCCTCGCCGCCGCCACCACCCTCGCCCTCCTCGCGCGCCGCCGCACCCTCTCGCCCCCCGCCACCACCCTCGCGTATGCTGTCGGAGCCATGGCCTGGGCACAGGTCACTTCTCTTTATAATCATTATTATCTATACAAATACAAATAGTCGTGTTTGTTACACTATAACATAAGAACATCTGAACCGATTTGACTGAAAAACTATGGGGAGGTAGCTTAAAACCATGAGACGGACATAGGATACTTTTTATGCTGTTTATCAGACGAAGTCGCGATCAAAGGCTAGTTACTTATATTTATGAAATCCCACGACGTCACATTAGTTACAATGTAAAATTTCTTTTATAAAAAGTGTTTAGATAGTGAGAAAACCAATTTATAAATAAAGAATATTGTGGACAACAACATAACTCACGCCTGAAACCGAAATGGGTAGGCAGAGATGCGGATCTCTATTTCTCTTGTTACGCTCTTTGTCGTGGATACAAGTTTTAATTGTTTATATCGTATGTGTGACAACGCAGGTGTGCCTGGGCATAGCGACGCTGGTGACGTACGTGCCGACTCCGCTGGCCGCCAGCCACCAGGCCGGCTCACTGACGCTGCTCACCCTCGCCCTCTGCCTCACGCACGAGATCAAACTCCTCAAGTACATACCCAAGTGAACCGCATCACATCACATTGTGCTAAATCCTACGCATTTAATGAGTTAACTGTTGTATTATAAACCATAGCTGTTACAACAATAACCGTATCTTTGTTTAAACTGTTATAAAGTTCACAAATGTTTTCTTGCATTGGAAACACACGGAGTAACATTGTTACCTTGTTGAGTTCAGTCGACACAGTATTGTAACATGTTTCAGTGAAACTTCTTTATATTATAAGTTAACAAGCGGATACTTGAATTCAATAAATTCAGGAAGAACGCACATAAAGATTAATTCTATGATGCAATAATATGCTTTACACATCACATCCTCCATCAAATCCACTTCCTCTTCACATTATTTCCTTGTAAGAAAGGGTAGGAAGGGGAAGTGGACTAAAATTATACCTCCGAGTATTAAAACTAATGTTAATCTTCAAATTAATATTTGTATTGTAAATGTGTCGCGTGAAACAGACTGCTTTTTGTATAATATTGTACTATTTAAATAGATGGTTTTTGTTTCTATATGCTTTTTATTTTCTCCTTTATGTTTCACGATTAATTTCAAGCAGATCAAGTACGTATATTTAACTCTTACTAATTAAATGGGAAAGTTTAGATGAATGGATCGATGTTAGTTACAAGTTATCTCTGGGACGGCTCAGTGATTTTTTAATTTAATTGGGCATACATGTAGAATAGTTTGAAAAAATAAAGCTAGGAAGGCTACTTGTATTTTTTTATGACTGAGCCGCGACAACAAGTCTATATGTGTCACTAATTCAGAAAAGGTCGAGAAGAGAACATTTTAACCCCTTCTATTAGATCACTTTGTTATGCCTATATTTAAGCATTTATCAGATAATAAGTACAAGAATGAAATAAGTATATTTATCTTAACCGATTTTATTTAAACATATTTTACAGCAATGGATTTCTATAAGAACAAAACCAATTGTTATACGAACGCAACGCGGAGTACTAAATTTGCATTGCAATAGATTCAACGAGTTACGTTACAAATAGTTTTTGACAAAAGAATATTTTATGTGCGGTGAATTTTAAACACAAGAGATGCAGATTGCAAATTGAATACAATAAGATAATAGATTACGTTTAATTTATACACACTTATACACGACTTGCGAGTGTAAAGATCAATATAAAAAAACTCCATACAATGCAAAACAATCTTCTATGCTCAAGTTAAAAGGAATAGGAAAATATTAGCAAATTAACTGTAAGTAAAATATATTAAATGTATATAAACGCTATTATTTACAAGCGTATCGACGTGAGCAAAAGAAT